TGCAGTGAGTAGTATTCGCTGCAATCAAAGTAGACATTGGACGCAAAATAAAAAATCGCAAGCAAACGAAAAAAAATGCAAAAGAGAACGCAAATTTATGCATATGAAGCGTAGTGCCAAGTAGAAGAAAAGAATGTTGGGACTAGATCCTAGTGTCTCCTACTTTCTGTGGTTACTGCTGGTGCAGTCATCGAGTAGTGAACGCACAATCACGCTCCGCAGGGCGCAGCGCATGATGCGCGATGCAAATGATAAACTACTCGTAGTTTAGTTTCCCCTACTCATAGAAGGCTCTAAACGAAGAATTAGGAAACAAAATTATTTAACGACGCAATTTACAGTCATCGTTTCAGGTCACAGATTTCAGGTGAGTGCTTTAGTTTTTCATTATGTTAAATTTTCATTCTTTTCATGCCTCTTCTATCTATTCCCCTGAAAGAAATAATCATTACTTTACCATATTGGTAGCAACTAATAAACTGACGCCTATTCCAACATTGTTTTTACCTTGGCAATGAATCATGCTGACAAGATATCAAGCTGATAGCCTCAGGAATTTCAATGCCGAATTCATGCAGCTTCTATGTAACTATCCTATATTTTTATATCAACGTAGGGCATTTTTGTTGCATTTTCAAGCTTTGCAAAGTTATTCTAGTTACTTTTTAGAATCTATCACGGGTTGCAGCCACATTTTATAATTGCAATGTTATTTACCACGTTTTTCTTAGCTTCGTTTCGTGTCTGTCTGTCTGTCTGTCTGTCATCATAAATTCAAACCTTAATTTAGAACACTTCTGAAGATCCTAGAACTTTAAATTTGGCATGCATATCCTTATGTTGCCTAACAATTTAAGATTTGATAAACAGAAATAATAAGTAAAAAAATTTTTTTAACTGAAAAAATCATAAATAAAAATTCACGGTTTGGAATCCAGTTTTTTCTCGAACATCCAGACTAGCCAACCCTGTAAATTGATTTGAATTGCTAAAATTGCTAAACTAAAAAGTAGAAAATCAAATATAAAACCATATTCAAAAACCACGCTTTTCTGGTTTTTACAAAACTAAAAATAATGAAAAAAATTAAAAAACGCGTTTTCTTAACGGACAAAAAAGAAAAACATTTACTCTTACATAACATTTTACATAATTTGAATGTTATGTGTAATGTTATGTAAGTTTAAATGTTGTTCTTTTTTGTCCGTTATAGGAAAACGTGGTTTTTAAAAGTTTTTTGTTTTATTTCAGTCACCTCGATCGTTGAAGTTCTTGAACATTTAGTAGATTTGCATGAAGTCCATTCATGAATTTATTAACTGTGTATTGAATAATTTATTACAGATGGTAATGTTGTCGAGAAGGCACTTAAAATAAAAGTTATTTACATCAATAAAGATGAGATTCTAATCTTTGTAAGTTTTTCATTTTCTAATTAGCTTGTGCACAACAAATAGGATTGACCACCAGGATTTTTTGTTCCAGATAAGAATAGGTAAAATTTATGTGCTAAATAATATAAATAATATATGTAAATTTGTTTAAAAAGGTGTGAAATTTCGTTAATCATGATGCACTAGAATTCTTTATTGTTTCAAATCGTCCAACGTAATTGCTGCTCGTAGTCACGTGTTTCTTGTCATTCATGAACATTTGCTCTTAGCGTGGTGACAACTTCACATATTTTTAACTTCAACAACGACAGTCCAGACAAATTGCTCTGTACTGAAATACCTCGAAAGTCCGTACATTGCCTTTGTTTCAAAAGATGGGAACAAATGACTTCAAAGGTTTTCTAAGTAATAGCCTGAATGTAAAACGAGTTCATCACTCAATCGCCAAATAGAAGACTTCAGATATATCATAAGTTTTATCCAGCCCATATCCCGATACGATAATGTATCGCGGATGCGCACTCAAGTATAGTCCGAATTTATTTACAGCGCCAACGAACCTGCATGGTGTATTAACCTGTATTAGGGTAAACCCTGGAACTTAAAAATATTTCTAACAAATAGCTTTTTTCAGTTCTCATGCTGATTCTAAGCGAAATTCATATCAAATTTAAGAAAAATTCATATCAATTCTCAGCGGAATTCTTATCAATTCTCAGCGGAATTCTTATCAATTCTAGCCGGAATTCATATCAAATCAATGTCCACACCCTCGTGTAACAACTAGCCCAATTTGATCACAGCAAAGAAGATTGAAATGAATGCAAACTCTGGGTTTAGTATAACAAAACAGAAATATAGTAAAGAATAATAGAAATCAGTTCAATATATTTTTTTTCATCCTACGCGCATTTGTTAAAACCCTTGTTTCTACTGCTAAAATAGCCAATTGGTGACATATAGGCATTAATAACGTAGTTATCAGAGCACCAAAAGTCCCAATCGAAGTTGCGGACTTCGAACACGCCAGCAAGCAATCCGTGTCAATAATTTCTTATTTGCAATGTTAATTAAAAAATCACATGAATATTTATTGTTCCAATACATGTATATTTATTTTCCAATAAAAAGTCCGCATCGTTATAGGGATTTCCCTGATAGTCATTGCCGTCCCTACCTTTACACCTAGCATTCTATCGCTGTAATGATCGCCGCACCTTTCAGTTATATTCTCATCTAATCTGTTATCGACTACTTCCTCCACACCAGTGGCACAGCTGATGTCATTAAAGCTATGTAGCAATTATGAATATCTTTAATAAGTGTGCTCATCCTTTGCAGAGGGACTGGTAACATGGGCATTTATTTCAGAAACTGGAATTAGTGCATATTTCAATCCCAGTTTTAATATATTTCATTTTAACATCAATAAGCGAGTAAAGGAAATTATTTTAAACATGATTTGTTTCATCGGTCTATTGCAGAGGTGGGCAGTAGCGCGCTACATGTAGCGGCCGCTACATTTTCTGTAGCGGTAGCGGTAGCGGCTCTATATTTAAGGCACTGTAGCGGTAGCGGTAGCGCCCGCTACATATTTAGGTAGCGATACGAGGTTTTGCCGCTACAGCGCTACCGCTACATTTATAGATAAAGCCTTTAGATTTTAAATATATATTTTTTTAAATTGTCTTACGCAAAAATTATAGCACGCACAGACATGCGGTAAACTGCGTTAGACGCGCCTTTTCAGCAGCTACAAAATGAGTCAAGAAAACGGTAAAGCCAAAATTTCCGATTTTTAGGGTAGCCGGTCCCCTTAATAGTATTAAATATTATTTAAAAACCAGCATGATACATACATAATACAAATTACAGAATAAAACTGTACGAAAGATTTCGGTGTAATGTTGTCAACCTCAGCCTGTTACTAGCGTCCATTGTTAGTTGTTACTTGTTAAGTTGTTACCAGTTACCACTTACAGGTTTTTTTATCTTTCAGTTTGCTTACAGTTATTTTACACAGTTATTTTTATGTTTCACCTTCCCTACATGGATGTCTACTTTAATCTACCAATCTCAAAAATAATCCACATATATATACAAAAAAAGACTGATTTTTCTCTGTATATGTGGATAATTTCTTAGATTGGTAGAATAAAGTTCACATCCATGTAGGGAAGGTATAATATAAAAATAACTGTAACTTTTATTTGCTGTCTCTAACCCTGGGGTAACCCATACTAGTTCGGTTAAGTTAATTGCAATAAAGTTGCATTGATATGTTTTAAAAATGTTTTATTATCATTGAATGTTAATGAGTAAATCCCAATAGCAGAACAATAAATATTTAGAGATTTCCAATAATTTTGGCCATTGTAGCGGCTAATGTAGCGCGCTACATTTTACTGTAGCGGTAGCGGTAGCGCCCGTTATAATCTAGTGGGTGTAGCGGTAGCAGTAGCGTCCGCTACATTTAGAGCATGTAGCGGTAGCGCCGCTACATTTCCAAGTAGCGCTGCCCAGCTCTGGTCTATTGTTACCATAATGTTGTAATATTTTCATAGCTTACAAAATTGAAAAATGCCGCTGTGTCTTGAAATGAAAATAAATTTTACCGGCACATCTGACTGCTGGTGAACTCAAGCGTAAACAGAAGGTTGAGGTTGTGAAGTAGTCAGGGAGTGGCGAGGAGTCAGACTAAGCGAGGACTCTACTCTGTCCTTCTATACTGCATTACTCGCATTTTCTACGATTAGTTCAATTAGTTTTTCATCAGGCTCAAAATCTTCAGCATTTATTATTAAAACAGTTGTTTTGATATTTAATGAAGGTAAAGCAGGGAAATCAATTTAATCGAAACTTTGGACGAACATAACTTTTTATAACAAATTCCTAAGTCTCATTTAAGATGTTTTAGAAGAAGCCTTCGGAACCAATATTAAGTTTTTTTAAAGGCCTCCTACACTCACCATTCCAAAAAAAGGAAAAGAATTGATTTTATTAATTAAAAACAGGGAATGGTTTCATGTCAATGATCAGGGCCCCGACCTTAACGCCTCTGATGGTGGCCTACACCGACTCCGAGGGTCACTGAGCTGTGACGCGAGCGAGGAGCGGGCCCACGTCGAACTTTTCTCTGACACTGCAAACTGTCGTCCTCGGCCAGTCGTACATTATGTAAAACAGCATCAACTAGGCCACGGACGGAGTGGAGTGACGATATGAACGCAGGGAGCGCGATGTCCTTTGACATACGGATACCCAGACCTCCCAGCCGGACCGGTAACACAGCTTGTTCAAGAGATTCGCGCTTAAGTTTGTGTTCAAATCCAAAATATTTGGGATAGCCAATATGAGCCAAATTTATGAATTTAATCAAATAAAATTAATAAAAATTTGAAGTTTGGAAGTCGCAAACTTAACAGGTAGAGGTAGCGATTACCTCGCATCCCATTTCTTGTTACATGGTTGCGAACATTTCAATTCATGGCATTATTTGAATTAGTAGATTATCCTTGTTTATCTTCAAGAATTTGTCAAAAAGGTCTAGGATAAATGAAATAATGTTGCAATTCAAGGAAACTAAATTTATTGTTATTAATGTGACGAAAAAATTGTAACAGGATCCAGTAATGGATAAAGTACATCAATGCTGACTAGTCATCAGGCATGCAGCCAACCCACCCCATTTTCCATTTCCCTCTCGGCCCTACTTTCTTCCACCTTAACTCGCTTTTGATCTCAGGCGCGGTGAGTTGGTATCTTAGTTCCATCACTGCTCAGTTTTATCCGTATAGCATCCAGCTGTACATATATATGTCGCCTTTCAAAATAGCGTTTTTTGTCAATGTATCTGTACCAGTTGTTACACTAAACACAGATTGTGATGTACCAGTTGCGTTGTCCAATCGTTCTTTTGTGCGATTGGACAACTGGTCAACTATATCGCCTTCAATTTCAAGCTGCGCTATGACCAGGTGAACATATATAACGCTTGTCAAATTTTTTAACCCATAAATTTCTTCGATGTGGTTTGGAGGCAATGTAGTATTTTGCACTCACGAAGAAATTAGTCGTTAATAGGTTATTTGCTCGACCTTGTCTAGTTTTTTCTTGATAGAGCTAGCACCGGATCAGATGTATTCATGAGCACATATATATTAATTAAATGAACGTGTAGATAATTAAAACCAAATTCTACGTAAGATCTTCTACATATAGCTGTTCATACATTGATTCTATATTCAAGTCATTCAATTTAGCAATTTATTTCTTATAACAAATACCTCTATTAATAAACATCCACATGACACTAAAATCACGCGGTCGAACTTTGTCGGTAGAATCATTACCATGAATCTACTCGCACTTCATAAATCGCTAGATGTCCCGTGAGTATACAATATACATTTATTAATCAACAAATGATCTAATTGATTAAATTTGTACGGAATACTGTTGAATTACTTCCTTATATTAGTTACTTCATTACCTAAGTTTAGTTATATAAATGAAGGTACCTACAGCAGGTTACTGCAGGTACTATTCACGGTTATGCCTCATCTGAACGAAATTATTATTATCTGAACAAACCTATCACTGGCAGGTAAAAACCCAAAGATTTTTTTAGAAACCGAGGACCAGAAATGAGGAATAGAGAAATAGAGTTCAAAAATGAGGAAAATGTCACTATATTTCACACTGTGGTTCGCAAACTGTGGCAAGCCTACCATAAGAACGCAGGGCATATCATGTGGTGTGCTTTCGCTTGCATGATTGATTTTATGCTACCAGTTTTTCATTTACCAAAAATGCCACAGCACAAGACTAAATAATCTGTTAAAGATCCACGGCTGTTGTTATTCACGCAGACTTTGTATCAGTGGCTCACCATTAAATTCAAACCGCACTTCTACGGCACAAATTATTAGCATAGTAATTATGTACTAGTACGTAAATTAAAAACGATTATACATATAAATGCTAACGTAATATATTGTTTTATGGTTGGTAGTACGCGTTGGTATCTTATGCTGCCAGGCTACTTTTCGAGACCTTGTACGCGATCACAAAAAGTCTGAGCAGCACTGATTTAACCGGACAAACAGCCTTACGTGCCCTTAGCTTAGCCCTACAGTCAAAATTGTGAGAAGATTAATAATGAAAAAAGATTTAGATAACATACACCGACATATAGAGTGGTTTAGATTGTCTATCACCAAATCGATCGCCGAAAATTCTTGTTTCAGTTGAATATTGACTTTAATATATCGTTAAACCGAAAAGGATCACTGTCTGATATGGCAAAGAAGGGCGTTCTCAAGATCATCTGTCTCTGGGCGTTGTGAATGACTGTGAATGGCGGTCAACTATGAATGGCGCAATAATTGATGAATCTGCGGAAAACTTCTTCTTCAGCAGTTCCTTCCAGAAAAAAATTGTCTCGGATGATTCAGACATCTGCCACTAGCGGCATTTTCCAGTCCCCGGAAGTGGCTTTCATTGTCTGTCGATGAATAAATTATAGTTATTTTATTTATATTTTATTCACCAGTAATTTTGCAGCAGCTTTACATATAACCCCTGCTATATTTCTTGTATCCATATACCTATAGATAAAAAGTTGTTAGCGTCACGTGAAATAAATTACTGGCAGTGTTTGATCGACGTGGCTGCCACGAAATACTTTCTTAAGAAAAATAAAAATTTAAATAAGAAAAATGTTCATTGGAGATGACAGCAAGAAATGAATCTCAAAACACCTTTTATGTTTATTTAATTATTTTAAACTTAGCGTAAGATTTTCATTCCAATAAGTTCAGTTGTTCTATTGTGTTCATTTAGTTGTGTACAATTAAAAATTAGAATATAGTCCCCTGCTATCATGAGAAAAATTATAATGGATTCTAGAATTATTATTTTAACATTCCTGGTCGCATAAACCTGAGACTAAATAATTATCTTTATTTTTTGCTAAGTCTTTTGATGAAAACAGGCTGAAATTCTGACAGTGATATAAATTCCACTTAAGTTAACTTCATTAGAACGAGAACAAAGTTTACCTCTTTCATGTGGGCGTGGACCAGCCAGCAGAGAAGAGCTTTGATGGTGGCAGCGATGACCAGGATTGTGCCCAGGATTGCAGTGAGCGGCATGGGGAGCAAGGTGAGGCTCAGCACCAACAAAATCAGCACCACGATTACAGCCAAAATCATCCACGTCAGAAAAGGAATCATGAGTCGTGGTCGCTTCTGAAAACAAGATTACAATTAGTTAATAATACGTCTGCGTGGATAACTCATCAATACGTCTCGTGGTATACTCAATATACGCAGACTCAATACGTCTGCGTGGTATAATCATGGCTTATACAAGGTCCCAGAAGGATTACTAGAATTTGAAACAAGAACCAACACCAGGGGCCACGGCTATAAACTAAAAAAACTGCGTTGTAACACATCCATGCGACAACATTTCTTCTCGCTTCGAGTCACCGACATGTGGAACAGCCACCCTGATAGCATCGTTGACGCTCCGAGTAAGAACGTCTTCAAGAACAGACAAGACGAAGCTATGCAGGAGCATATGTTCAGTCTTAAAATGCCTAGCAAATTACGGACCAGGCAATAAGTCCAGCAGCTATCTCAATCAATCGTCAGTTATGGAAAGATCGGGTTCCAAAGGCCGGATCCCTTGTGAATCAAGTCACGAAAAATTCAAGAATCAGCAACAGGCCATGGGCCTATTTCTTCAGTGTCGACACTTCTATTCTATTCTAATACGATCTGTGATGTTATCAGTCGTTAGAAAATTTTAAGCCATAGAAATTTTCAAATATTAAGTTTGCACTGAGATCTGTTTATGCAATTACAATAAAAATTCTCTTTATTAGAAGTAGCACTGAAAAAATGTTCGAAATATCACACATTGAAAATTTTCTGATATGCAAAGGGCATTTTTGTAAACATCCGACCCAGCTAACATTTTGCAGAGGTAATGCGAGTAACAGTCAAGAGAAAGAGGTTAGTGAAGCGAGAAATTTGCACACTAAGAAACTTCTAAAATTTTTCATATACATTGTCCTCTAAACTTAGTTTGTAATGAGGGTTTCGATATCATAAGTTACCAAAATACAAGAATGATGTGAGAACACCCTGTTAGTCTGACAAGTGTTGTTTGTAAGGCAATGGAATCTGTTTTGAGGGATAGGATTATCGATCGCTTGACTGTTCACCATCTCATACCAGATTGTCAACATGGTTTTATTGCCGGTAGATCCTGCACCACTCTAAGTTGAACGATTGGACTCGCCTGCTGGACGAAAGGGAGCCAGTGGATGCATTGTACCTCGATTTTGAGAAAGCATTTGGCAGTGTTCCGCATGAGCGGCTGTTACGTAAAGTTAAGTCTTTGGGAATTAAGGGAAACGTACTCCAACGGATCAAAGATTTTCTAGTCGGTAAATGACAACGTGTCAGTATTAACGGAACCGTGTCAGACTGGACATCAGTGCGTGCCACAAGGAAGCGTTCTTGGGCCTATTTTGTTCGTTGCTTTTATAAACGATCTGCCAGAAGTAGTGTCCAGCGTGTGCTCCATGGATGCCGACACAAAATTTATAATACAGTGAAGGATGCGTCAAATAAAGCGTAATTACAAGATGATCTTGACAAAAATTTAATAGAGAATGTTCAAAGACGTGCAACAAGGATAATTCCAGGCTTGAAGGGCAAGTCCTATGTAGAAAGATTAAAGATTATGAAGCTTCCAAGCCTCAGTTATCGACGTCTGCGTGGGGACCTCATTTAAGTATACAAGTATACTCATGGTTTATACAATGACCCCGAAGGATTACTTGAATTTGAAACAAGAACCAACACCAGGGGCCACGGCTATAAACTAAACAAACTGCGCGTCAACTTATCCACGCACGACAACATTTCTCCTCGCTTCGAATCACCGACATGTGGAACAGCCTCCCCGATTACATCGTTGGCGCCTTAAGTATGAACGCGTTCAAGAACAGACTAGATAAAGCTACGGAAAAATATATGTTCAGACTTGAAATGCCTAGCACCATATCGAACCCGGTGGAAGTCTAGTAGCTACTCCAAACTATCGTCAGTCATGAAAAGATCCGGTCAAATGACACGATTTTAGATCTTCTGTGAACAACGCACGAAAGGTACAAGAATCGGAGACAGGCAACATCTGGTCTACTCTTCAGCGCCGACATCATTATATTATGTTATGTTATAAGCAAAGTATTATTATTATTATGCGTTTCCCAAATGAAAATTTGATCAAGTGAAAAATCATTGGTCATTCTATGGCAAATAAATTACATTGAGAGGCAGTAATAAACTATTAGCACTAACGATTATTTGTATTACTAAAATTAATGTACAAAATATGATTGTGCTACTCCTCACAAAATCCTAAATAATTTAAACAAAAAATAGCTTGTTTCTCCATCATTAAGGGGGGGGGTATACCCTCCGGAAAAACTTCTTTGTTTACGGACGGATCTTTCTGAAATTTCACACATATATGTAAAACTGCAAAAGAATCACATTTTGATTTTTTCGAAAAAATGCTTAGAAAACGAGGGGGTAATTTAAGGGGGTACTTTAAAAATCTATCTCCTCCTATAGAGTTTAAAAGCTACAGCGATGAGACATATACCATTCGATTTGTAAAGACCATACCAATCGAGTAACTAAGCCAGATTTTTTATTTTTGCCTTAGTTTGTTTTTCAACGAATTTAAAATTTTTTTTTTCTTCAGATTACCCCCCCTTTCCCCCCATTTTGAATCCAAACTGCACAAATCTAAAAAAAGGCTTCGTTACTCGATAGGTATGGTCTAAACGAATCGAATGGTATATGTCTCATCGCTGTAGCTTCAAAACTCTAGGAGGAGGACAGCGACTTTTCAGGACTAAAGGTCCTGAACCTGAAAGTTCAGGACAGCGACTAGGAACTTTTCAGGACAGCGCGACAAAGTCCCGCGCGCCTCGAAATAGGCACTCAATGTAGCATGGATACTAAACTACAGGCTTCTGTAGCTTGCTTCCACTCAAGGATGGTGGCAGCGACTTGCAGTACACCTCTGCGTACGAAGCGAGGCGGGTGACTAAGCCTTGATGCCAGAGAACACCATATATGTAGTGCTGGCCGTCTATTTTTGCCCTATCTAATTAGTGGAGGACCTCCCCCCCGCCCCCCCTTCAAAGAGCAGTCGTCATGTACGCTAATGTTGACGTAGAAAGATCGCAGTGGTACCGTTGGATAGCTCAGAATGTCAGCTTTAAGATGAGACTAAACAAGTAACAAAAGCGCAACTCAATCAGACTATATTTAAAATGCTCAGCTGCTAATTACCTTGTATCTAATTAGTGAAGGAACTCCCCCACCCGCCCCCCTTTAAAGAGCCGTCATGAACGTATAAATTCACGTACAGAGATCGCAGTGGTACCGTTGGATAGGGCAGAATGTCAGCTTTAAAATGATACTAAAAACCGAAAAATGCCAAATCCAAAAATTTTTGGATATACCCCCCCCCTTAACATTGATCATTATTGCGTCTCACTATTATTATAATTAAACTCATGAATATGTCACCTGATCGACGGCGTAGATGTAGACGCTGCTGACCACGGTGAGACACGAACTCAAGATCGCTGACGCGACACAGCTCCAGAATACTGAATTTTAAATGATAAGTAGATTTAGTTCGATTTTAAACATATGAAAACTTTTTTCATCCATTTTCCTTATAGGAGCGAAAAAGATTATACCATCATTTTCTTTGCATATGATGTAATTAAATGAGCTTGCGTTAATTTATCTCGTGGGAGCAAAGTAGTTCATATATGCTTCAGGTCAGAGCTGAGCGAGGTAATTTTAATTTGTTTGTACATGGGATAACCTAAGAAATGTTCAAAAGTACTCATCCATGGAGGGCAGTGAAAATTGATGGTAAGACATATCCCAGTTAAATTTCGGAGACGAATTCTGCGCCGTTCACGGCAGAAGAACAGTTTAGCAGCAGCATTGCAGCAGGAATCTCAGGAAACTGTCCCTTGTTAAAAATCGAGACAGGGAGCAGCCGCATATTGGCAGGAATTTCACAGCGTCATATATATAGGCAACGGCTTGCCGTCCGTGTCCGTTTCGAGGCAGAGTGAGAGCAGGATATCAATAGGGGTGAATTGGGGGTTGGTAAGAAGTGGGAGAGAGAATGAGTTTCTATGTTGACAACTGGTTTACTTAAACGTTTTGTATACTATATTTATTGAAATAGCATCGCAACTATATGTCATAACAATGGCAAAGCACAAACTAACTTGTTCACGATTTGTACTTCATATTATACGGTGGCAACTAAATGTATTAAAAAACTTTTTTGTCAAAGAATAGATAAGGAATAGACGAGGAATTGTAATGTAAAGAGAGAGATTTTTCACATGTGAAGTTTATCATATAATACCATATTGTATTTATAATGATCAATCTTCCTCCTGAAAAACTCTGATATACTGGAATAAATCAAACAGTTCGTTACAGATTATAAACTTTAAATATTGATGAGAAATATATATCAAAAATATTCCGAATCAGTCAGTAAAATTGTTTTTTTTAGTTGTGCTCAGAATATTATTATTCTTTTCCACAATTTTCCAATTAACCAAAGTTGAACAATTTATTGCACAAATCGTACTGTAAGAAGGAATTGCAGTGAAAATTTTAAAATTTACCCTAAAATTTCAGAGTGCGGGAGTGTATTCTGAGCAGTTGTTTGGACAATAACTTAAATTTACAAAGTGTGGACAGGCGTCAAATAATTTTTTCAGTGTTTTAATGAACTATTCGGTTCAAGAAAGCATTTTTGAACGACTGTTCTAGAAATTTGACTATTATCATTTTACCCTGTCAGGGCAAAAATGCTGCAAAATAGTCGAATGCCAAACGGCGTTCTTTGTCCGAGTTCGTCATGGCGTCATTGGCGTGTACTGCCGTGTAGTAGTGCCTCCGGATTCAAAATGCATGAACGTTGTTAATTGTTTACGATGGGAATTGGGAACAAGCACAAGACACTGAATGTGTTATCTGGAAGAATTGACCATGATGTCAATAATTTAGTAGTGACTGTAGTGTAACTGTGTGTGGTGATGGTCCGCCGAACTTGTTCGAACACGGAACATCTGAAGTCGAGTTGCAGCAGTGCGGGAGTCGGGACTGATGG